TAATGTAATCATCGTCGTCCGAGTATATGTTCGTGTCCTCATAGACCGCGAAGAGAGAGTCGTCCATGGCCAAGCCCTTGATACTGTCGCCGCAGTCGTCGAAGTGGTTCTCGATCTGGAACTTCTGCTTCTTGGCCTCCTTCGGTTTGTCGGTCAGCCGGTCAGCGACTTCATCTTCGCGCGCATCCTCGCCTCTGTCGGGTAGGAGTTCTCATCGTTGTTTGCCGTGTTCTCGCCCGCAGGCGCTTCCGTAGTTCTCGACTCGGGTGGTGAACGGTTACCCTCTGACAAGAGGGCGTCGTTGATCTCCCGAGACATCGCCACCAAGTAATGCGCGTGCTGTTCGTCTCGCTGTTGTTTGCGTTTATCGCTTCTGGACGAGCTCCTCCAATCACTCTTGTGCCGACGTCCTTTTCCTTGGCATTGACATGGTTGGGCTCGAACCGCGAAGGTAGATTGGACTCGGTCCACGCGGTCACTCCATCCTCGTTCTCCTGCTTCGTCCGGTAGAGACTGCACGTCGAAAGAACACCAATGTATTTCCACCTCGTGGGGAACCTCTCGTCTGAGCTTCAAGATCGTCGGGTCCGCCCACATAGAGCTACCACGCTCAGCAACTAGCATGGCGTCTCCGCCCCCAGCAACTTGTTCTCGTACGCAGTCTTCAAGAAGTCGTAGGCGCTGTTGTGGTCGCTGTCCTCGCTCAGCTCCTCGACGTCCTGGTAGATCTGCCCACAGTAGCCGGAAGCGGTCTTCGGTGAGGTGTCGTTTCAGATCTCGTACCTCCTTGCCTACCACCTGGTCGTAGGCCATCACCTGTGTCACTGGCCATCCTCCTTGTCGTGCCGCACGCATCGTAGTTGCCAATCCCAAACGGTAGCCAAGAACTTGAGCATGAAAATGATGATGCGGCGTCGCCGAACGGCGTTCGGCAGCTGCTCCGGCCGCCGCGGCAGGAGCCCTGCACCTTCAGAGGCCCGAGGATGCTGCCAGGTCTGGCAGCACCTCGAAGCGCACCTCCTTCTCCTTCTTATCGCCGAAGATCTCCTTGATGCTGGCCCACTTCTTGCTCGGAATGCACTCCTTGTATATGCCATGCATCTTCAGCGAGTGCTGAAATCCGTTCCAACTCCTATCCTGCACGTGTTGCTTGCATTCGGCGTACAGCTGTGACATCTCATTGAGTGTCAAACCCAGGCCGCTCATCTCCCCCCGAAACTCGTCCCACATGAAGTCCAAGCGCTCGGGGTGAGGTTGCAATCGATCGATAGGATATCCTGTATTGCCGCTGGAAATCGATGCCTCTCTGAATCGTGAGCAGGGCAGTAGCCAGTGTCCGCTTCTGCTTTCCTTCAGGTTGTAGCTGCGAGTCCCTGCTGGAAGAACGAGCTCTCTGCGTCCGGGTCCACATAGATGTAGGATACCGGGGCCGCACTCCAAGATCGCATCGAGCTTCTTCAGCGAACTGTTGCCCAGCAACGAAGGAACATCGCGTCCAGGAATACTAGGGGCCGTGTACGTGTCCAGGTTGCCGCTACCATCGCCCTCCTGACAAATTTCATGCGTGCCGATGGGAATTTTCCATTGCTGATGGCAGTAGTCGGATCCTTTTCCAACTCCGTTGACTTCAGGGGTTCTCGCAGTTCTGTCTTCTCCGTGTTGTGCTGGTATTGCTTGGCTTTCTCCGCCTGCTGTCGTGCCCAGCGCTCTCCAACGAGGTTGCCGTGCGCTCCCGGGTCCACGTGTCCCAGGTAGGTCTCCCCGCGGTTCTCTCCCAGGGTCCAGACAACTCCGTTGAAGCCTCCATGATCATCGCTGAAGTCCACTCCGCCTGTGTGCTTGTCCTGCGGAATCTGCAGGCCGTCGTTGTCTTCCTCAGCTTCTTCGTATTGTTCGTCGTGCTCGGTGTGTTCGTCATCGTCTGGAACGGCGACCTCGTCTGCTCCTCTCAGGTGTTCCGGGCACTCACGTTCGTGCGGGTGTCCAGGCTGAAAGTAGCTCTCCGTGTCGAGGTCGAAGGATAACAAATCCACCTGCTGCTCTGGCACGCTCGACACCTTGTCCCAACTTGCCGCCGAATCCTGAACTCCGCTGCTCGCACTCTGTGGGGTCACCATTTTCGCTGGAACGGGGCTGAAGATCAGACCGCCTACGTTGATCGAAGAGGGGTCCTGCTTCTCGTCTGCCCTCTTGATGCCGAATATCTCCGATGCCGTCGGCGGTGCCTTCGCTGGTGTTGCCGTCGTCGCCTTCGGGAGGGGAACTTCAGCAGTCTGTGGCTCCGATACTTTGTCTCCGTCTTCGTTCTTCGGTGCCACTATCGATGAAAGTCCCAAGATAGGTCCGATTCCGAATGTGGGTCCTGATGGCATGTCTGTGATCTCCCCGAACTTGGTGGTCCCCAAGGTCGGTAACATCGTGAAGTAGGGTCCGCCACTCGATGGTAATGCCGATCCTGTCGTTGGTGGCTCCATGCTCTCCGTCATCGGTCTCGGTCCAAACCACTCCGGGAGCTTGTCCTCGATGGCTTTCGGCTGCGCCGGCGATATCACCACGCCGGTGAAGCCATGCGAGCCCTCCACGCTCGCGCTCGCCTTCTGCTCGTTGTCGTTCTTGGGCGCCTCCATGGCGAAGAAGCTCACCGATCCGGAGCCGTAGGCTGAGCTGCTCGTCGTCGCTGCTGGCGCTGGAACTGACGTGTTGTTGAATCTGAACCATGGAACCGCAGCTGAGGCCGCTGTCACCGGCCGGGGTCCGTTCGTGACGAAGTTACCCTTTCCTTGTCCTTTGCCTTGGCGGTGGGGGCAGTCCTTGTTCAGGTGGGATTCGCTCTCGCAACCCTTCGTGAGGCACTTCATAACCTCGCCGTCACGTCTGGTAGGATTACGTCGCCCTTTTCCTTCAAAGTGGTAGCCCTTGCCGTGTCCACGTTGACCGAAAGCTTCACCTCCTCGAAACGGGATCAAGAATCCCTTGCCACCCTTGCCTTTGCCGTACCTGTGGAATCTCGTGGGTCTGCCGATAAACTGGCGCCAGCGCTTCTTGTGGAAGACATAGTTTTGGTAGAGGTACTGCTGGATGACCGCGTCGTCTTGGCCGATCTGTCCAGGGAAGTCCGAGCCGTCCAGGTCCTCTCGAGCTCTCCGTCGTCCTCGTCGGTGTCCGTGTCGTTCTCGTCGTACTCGTTGCCGTAGTAGGCCTGCCACGGATCCGGCGACGGTGGCGCTGCCGCGGTAGGCGGCCTCCAGGGAGCCGAAGGGGTCCATGATGCTGCCATGCCTCCGCCAGTGTAGCCATCTGCTTGATCATCTTGGTGTCCGTCGCCGCCGCCGAAGTTGAACGTCGGAAAGAAGAACTGGCCATGGCCCTTGCCCTTGCTGTTTCGATTCACCGACATCGGTCCCTTCTCCAGAACATGTCCGTACCGTCGAATGTATTCAACTAGCTCGGCGAATTGCTGCTCTGTCCTCGGCAGGTGGCCCCTGAAGTGAATCAGCAACTCGTTCCACTCCGCAGGGCTACAGCCCAGGGCCGTCATCAACATCCACGCGTAGCCCTGCGGCCCCCTCTGAAATCCTCCAAGAGCCGCTGCCCGTCGTCGCGTGACTTCGAACCTGCTGAGCGTCTGGTCTATGTTCTGGTGACTCTTACGGTAGAAGCCCAGCAAGTCCGAGGTCGCCCTGCTCTCGTTCTCGTCACCGAGCGGGGCGAAAGATCTAGAAAGAACGAGCAGTAGGAGCTGCAGCCCAGTGAGTTGTCGTGCTCCTGCTCCGTCGCCTGGGTCTGCTATGGCTCCATCTCGTAGCTGTTCCGGTGGAATTTCTCTCGCCAAGCTCCTTGCCTCGCCTCCGAGTCGTAGTGCGATTGCTGGAGCTTGTTGTTCTGGCATAACCTTTCTCGCCGCCGCCGCTGCCCACATCGTCACATCCGTCAACCAGGATCTGAAGGGGTACTGCCTGTCCTGTTCTGGGCTCCATGCCGGCGGGACCTTGAGGCTGCCCATGACCTCGAGATGTAAGTGTTCCATCTCGCCAAACAATCAGATGTACGTAGTCTGTGAGCAAGCTCACGCCAGTGATAAAGAATACTTCTCATACCGAAGCTGTCCAGTACCGAAGCTGTCGTAGCGGATATCGTATTCTGCGGAGTGGTCGTACTTCACCTCGATGAAGACCACCTCCGCACCGTGGGTCACCTCGATGACCCGCTTGAAGCCGGACTCCTCCGGCTGCCGCGCAGTGGCAGCGCTGAGCCCCAGCCCGACGTGGACCAGGGCTCCGCTACCAAGTCGCGGGGCGTCCTTTCCCCGCTCGAAGTGCCCTCGGTGCACCTCGCTATGCTCCGGGCCCTCGGGCCCACGCGCGCACCACGCGCACGCGTCCTGCGTGTGGCCTTGAGCCACCGCAGCGTCGGTCACGCCGCCGTTCCGTCGCCGTCGGGGAGGGGGTCCAGGGCCCTGTTCTCGACTTCCTCCTCCTCCTCCTCCTCCTCCTCCTCCTCCTCCTCCTCCTCCTCCTCCTCCTCCTCCTCTCTTTCTCTTCCTCGGGTCGCCTACGGCCCGGGGGGAACCGTGCACAGTGTGGGGGGGCGCGACCCAGCAGCTGAATTTGTGCTTGACTGCCGCAGCACGAGCGTAGGAGCCATGACGGGTCACAGACCGCGTGCGACCGAAGTCACTTGTTGGGGATCAGCACCGGCATGAGGGGCCACGGCGGGCTACTTGCAGCCAGCCGATCAAGGTGGGCATCGATGCGGCGACGTGCCATGGGCAATCTTGCATTCATCCCTACCACGTGACGTCAGAGAAAATGACGTGACCGCGGACAACCTTGGAGCGCCTCATAAGGTGGCTGGCGGATTGGGCCTCATCTGTCTACTTGGTTTGAAGATTTGTATTGTCATCGCTGATGCGGGTGGTTGTTTTGTAGTGAGACTGGAGCGAAAAGAGGCATGAGGATGAGGACCAGAAGGGTGAGGAGGAATCTGCACTGCCCTCTCAGGTGTTCCTGGACGCCGCGCAGCAGACGGTGCAGCTGTTGCTGGACCGCACCCCCGCTGCCTTCTTGTTGGCAGACCAGCATCTCACACGGGAGAGGCCGTGCGAGTGCTAATGGGAGGCTGCGCCTACCAATGCCTCCATTCCCTGTGGGATATGGGGAAAGGGCGCGACACCTCCTGCGTGCAGCTGGTTCTGGCCCCGCCGCCAGGCGCTTCGGAGGCGCGGGGCGGTAAAACCAGCCTCGTGCAGCTGATTTGCTACCTCCCCTCTTTGCACCTCCCCTTTTTTCTCCCGCCACCTACCGAGAAGGATCCAGCCCTGAGGGGAGCGGGTCCAAGGCCCCGGGGCCTTCCCCAGGACCAGGAGGAGGAGGAGGAGGAGGAGGAGGAGGAGGAGGAGGAGGAGGAGGAGGAGGGGGAGGAGGAGGGAGGAGGAGGCGCTCTCCATCCCGCGCAGTTTCTTCACGGCTCCGGCCGAGAGTGGGGCAACAAACACATCCAGGACTTTCTCTCCCCTCCAGGACCTGAGGACCTGCTTCCCCCCTGACATCCTCTGATCTGACTTTTGCACATCCGCGGCCCGTGAAGCGGTCCTGACCGCTTACCGACGGGGTAGCCTTTCGGGCTGGACGAACGGGTAAAACAGCGTAAGGGGGGGGGGGGGGTCACGAAGTCTGCTGCGTGCAGCTGGTTTCAGCCCCGCCGCTGGACCCATTCCTCGATGCATGGGCGCCTCCCGGCGCCAGGAGGCGGCAGGAGAGCCAGCAGCTGCGTGAGCTGGTTCTCTGCCCTACCCTCTGCCGTCCTACCCGGTCCTACCCTTTCGCCCCCCCCTCCTCCGAGCCTCTGGTTCCGCATCCGTTTTCGACGGCCCCGAGGGGCCAGACAACGGCCCCCCGCAGAGGGCCGCTATCGGGAGACCACCCGCCGGTTGACAAGCCTCCCCTCGTCGGAGATGCGGGCCCGGAGCGGGCGCGCCGCTCAAACCCTGACGGCGACGGCGACGGCGGCGGCGGCGACGGCGGCGGCGACGGCGACGACGCTCACCACCCACCAAACCACCCCAACCCAACCCGAAGGCTCAGATTTACCCTCGATTTCCAGTGGGGGGGGGTCGGGAAACATCGAAAAAACACATGTGGAACCCTTACCCCCCCAACCCGGAATTCGGGTCTTCGGGTTGGGTTCGGGTGGTCTGGTAGGTAGTCAGACGCCGACGACCCTGGCGGCGGAGGCTGCGGCCTGCGCTTCAGGAGTTCATGGACGGCGGGGACCTGCAGGGCCTCCTGGTCGCGCAGAGGGGCGCCGGCGAAGCCCCGCCTTTCGAGGCGCCCCTCTGCCGTCGCCGTCGTCGCCGCCGTCGTCGTCGTCATTGTCCTCGTCGTCGTCGTCGTCGTCTGAGTCGTCGTCTGAGTCGTCGTCTGAGTCGTCGTCTGTGTTGTCGTCTTCGTCATCGTCGCCGTCGGCGTCGTCGTCGTCGCTGTCTTCGTCGTCGTCTTCGTCGTCGGCGTCGTCGTCGTAGAGGGAGGAGGAGGAGATAGATGGATAGGTCGGATGACGCAGAAAGAAGGAGGACGAGGATGAGGATCAGGACGATGATGAGGATGATAATGAAGACGAATGCTATGATGAAGCCGCCGAACATGATGATGATGATGATGCTGATGCTGATGCTGATGATGATGACAATGATGACAATGATGATGATTATGATGATGATGATGATGATGATGATGATGATGATGATGATGATGATGATGATGATGATGATGATGATAATGACGATGATGATGATGATGATGATGATGATGATGATGATGATGATGATGATGATGCTGATGATGATGATGACAATGATGATGATGACGACGCTGCTGTTGCTGCTGATGATGTTGCTGAGGATGATGCTGATGAGGATGAGGATGAGGATGAGGATGAGGATGCTGCTGCTGCTGATGATGATGCTGATGATGATGATGACGATGATGATGCTGATGATGATGCCGCTGATGATGCTGATGATGCTGATGATGATGGTGAGGAGGAGGAAGAGGAGGAGGAGGAGGAGGAGGAGGAGAGGAGGAGGAGAGAAGGAGGAGGAGGAGGAGGAGGAGGGAGGAGGAGGAGGAGGAGGAGGAGAGGAGGAGGAGGAGGACGAGGAGGAGGCAGAGGAGGAGAGGAGGAGGACGAAGGATGAGGAGGAGGAGGAGGAAGGAGGAGGATGCGGAGGAGGAGGAGGAGGAGGTGGAGGAGCAAGGAGTGTACTGTATTGCTGATGCCCTCGAGGGAAGGCGCAACCCTGATGAGTCGGGTGGGGCACATGGGCTCCCCATCCTTAGACAGGGGTGCCCGCGAAGGCCAGGAGGGCAACCCTTTGGTCCCGCAGCGTGCTGCAGCGACGCCTATGGACACCCGGTATGTGCACTCGCGTGTCTTGTGGCAGCCACCTCTGCGGCAGGCGGGACGTGAGGGAGAGGAGGAGGAGGAGGAGAAAAGGAGGACGAGGGAGGCGAAGGAGAAAGAGGAGGAGGAGGAGGAGGAGGAGGAAGGAGGAGGAAGCCACCTTTGTCTAAAGCAACCCTGCAGGACCATCTGCACTGCCGCCGGGCCGTGACCAAGAGGTCCATGTTTCGGCAGGCGGGACGTGAGGGAGAGGAGGAGGAGGAGGAGGAGGAGGAGGAGGAGGAGGAGGAGGAGGAGGAGGAGGAGAAGGAGGAGAGGAGGAGGAAGGAGAGGAGGAGGAGGAGGAGGAGGGAGGAGGAGGAGGAGGAGGAGCAGGCGCTGAGGAGGAGGGAGGTGCCATGCCCCGTCTGGTCCTCTCCTTCATACCTCCCCTCTCGTTCCAGTCTCTGCCCCCGCCCTCGTACCCCCTTGTCCCCGCCGCCCCGCCCCTCTTCGCCACTATTGGCCAGATCCTAGCCGCCATGATCTGGGCATCGAGGTCCCCTGACACACCAGGGCCAGCGGACAGGATCGGTCTCGGCGCAGCGGGGAGGGCTCGACGACGACGACGACGACGGGCAGGACGTTGGATGTGGCGCGAGCGCGCCCGGGCTGCCCCCGCCAAAAGGCCTCCGTGTGGGCACTGCTCTCCCCCCGCCCCGAAGACGTCCACTGGACATTGCGCCCTTCCCGTGGCTTCGCCAAACAGTGCTTGCACTCAGAGTCCCTCGCTTGTGCCCCTGAGCAATCGGGTGGCTTGGCATTGCTCGGACGTGTGCACTTTTCCTTCGGCGAGGACCATCGAGGAGCATCCTTCATCATTTGGCGAGAAAACCACGCACGAACCGAACAAAAAACACAGGGAGTGGACGTCCGAGCGATGACCAGCTGGGGTAGGCCCAGCGAAGTTTCCGCACTTTGCCGCACAGTTTTTGCCACGCCGCGCATACCACACAGCTTGCGCACACTGGCACAGCTTACACCTTCCGGCGTAAACGACACAGCTCGCACCATACAGATCGCATCGCATTGCTGACACAAAATACAGTAGACCACATAGCCTACACTGAATAGCTCATGCCACATAGCTCACCTAACCTGTATGGCACCACGCAGCTTATATGTCACAGCTTGCGCCACATAGCTCACATGGTATATCTTACGCCGCATAACTATCACCTCCACAGTGCGTGAATTCACGGTTTGGGGTCCCCGCTGGCTAGCATTGTTTTGTACACAGGATTACAAACGTTGATGCGTTAGATGGTGCTTTTAGAACAGGATTCGTTCGGTGTTTCGAGATATGGTACTTCAACTGCAGCGTGGGCTGCATTGTATGGTATGCGTTCGTTTCCGTCGTTCAGGGTGACGCTCTTGCCCTAGCGCGGGCTGGGCAGCAGAGCTCGGGAAGGATCCTAACATGTGTCCTAATGGGGTTGTATGTATACTTCGACCCGTTCTTTAGAACCGAGAGTTGTTGGGACGGAGGGGGGTACAATAGCCCGACTCCCGTATTTTTTGGCTCCGAGTCTTTCCTCATCGTTGTCTTCCCTTCCTCATCGTTGTCTCCCCGCTCGTATCCCCTCTTCCGCCTTCCGCTGGTCCTCTTGCTTTTCCCGCTCCTCCCACGCTTGCTCCTGCTGCAGTTGTTCCTCCTTGTCCTTCTCCTTCTTTCTCATCCCCTTTTTTCTCCTGCTCATCCCCTTGCTCATCCACCATCTCCTCCTCCTCCTCCTCCTCCTCCTCCTCCTCCTCCTCCTCCTCCTCCTCCTCCTCCTCTCCTCCTCCACTGTACACAGCTTCTCTCTTCTGATTGTGCACAACACGATGGTGTTCTTTTTGGAGGTTCCAGGCCTACTATGACACCCGTCAGCAGATAGAGTTCCTTTTCGACGCGGAGAGCCCCATATGTGCATCTCAGTTCCTGGCACGTCTCGCTGTGAGTGTCGGGCCGTGAGTGGCGAGCAGTGGTCCCGAGTTTTTTTTTGTTGACGGTCCCTGTGGGCCCGAGGAGGGTCCTCGGTGCCCGTAGACGGCGAGATGCTTCCAGGACCCCCTTCCTCTAGGAACCTTTTGAAACTATCCTCGTCGCAGGATGCGCCCCGACCGTAGCTTTTCGGTGGGGAGTCCAGCCAGGGGGGGGGAAGCGAGAGGGGGCGGGCCTTCTCAGAAGGCTCGGAAGTCCTCCGGCCTGTGAGAAGTTATGTCTGCCTTCCCCCCGAGGACGCAGTCTCCGAGGCCGTGGAGAATTCCTCACAAGGCAGAAGGCCCGAGAGCCTCTGAGAAATCCCGCCGCCTTCTGAGGAGGCCCTCTCCTTCTCATTTCCCCCCGTGGGCGCGCCGCCGGACATCGGTCAAACTCGGCCCCCGGACCCTTCCCGGGGTCCATCCGACGTTGTTTTTCCTCCCGGATGGACTTTCGGGGGTCCCGAGGCCCGAAAGAGGCTCCCAGAGGCCGAAAACGCAGAAAAGACGCCTCGCGGTTCGAAGCTCGAAGATCCCCCCCCTCGCTGGCCGCCGACCTGTCCTCCAGAGCTCGCTCCTTTCCTGCTGCAGAGGGGCAGGGGCTTCAGCAAGGGGGGGGGGGGGCCCGCGCAGACGCGCTCCGCTCACGGGGCCCCCGCTCCCCCCCGCGGCAGGCCCACTTCGCCCGGCGCATCCTGGGCGCCGTGGGTGGCGCGCTGGTGGGCCGCTCTCCTTTCGATTTTTCTGGGGCGGCAGGATCCGCGCACGCACAGTCGGTGCGCTGAAGAAGGAACCCTTTTCGTTGGGGAGGGGCTCCGTGTTCCTTGATTGTTTCGCAGCTTGCCTCAGGCTTTCCGTAGGCTTTCGACGGGAAATCGAAGTCTAACTTATGGAAAAAAGGGGCCTCGTTCCTTCTTTGGGGTTCCTTAGGTCAACGCCCCCACTGTACCCGGGGACGAGGACCAATCCGTTCCAGAGCGTTCCGGAACGCTCTCAGAGCGTTCCGAAGCGCTCTGAGAGGGCCGCGGCGCCCGAGGCAGCCTCCAGAGCCGCTGGATCTCAGAGATGCTCGACGTATCTCGCTGGCTTCTCGTCCTCGTCCTGGCTTTCGGCAACACCCGGTGTTGTCCTCGTCCTGGCTTCTCGGCTTACCTGCGCATGCAGGCCCGTTCCAGGCCCATCCTGGGCCCCAGATGGGCCCCGCCACGGGCCGGTGCAGATGCACTGATGGCGTCCTCCCGTCTTCTGCCCCGGATCTCGCGTCATACAGTGGGGACCCATGCCAAGAGGCACCCTGCTTGCCTCCAGGGTGCCCTGGGTTTCTTGGGTTTCGATGCTTTCTCCATGGGAAGCGTGGCGCCCCCACCAAAAATCCATGGACGTCCTGGGGTCTGAGGGTCGGGTTCCTCTTGGAAGGCTTCTTGTGAACTCGCCCCCACTGCACCAGCGATGCCGATGCCTGTCCGTTGCTGGCTCTGCTCTGGGGGGCGGCCAGTGGGCCGGCAGCATGTCGCAGGGCGCCCAGCCTGGGAGAGAGGTGCCCCGCAGGAGAGGGGCTCTGGAAGCTTTTGCCGCCTGCGGGGCCCTGGGCCTCTGCGCGGGCCCCGGGACCGCCAAGCACGCCCGGAGATGCATTGGTCTCGGGGAAGGCCGCGGCGCCGCGGATTCCTCCCTCCTCCTCCCTTTCCCTTCTCCCTCCTCCCTCCTCCCTCCTCCCTCCTCCCTCCTCCATCCTCCCTTCTCCCTCCTCCCTCCTCCCTCCTCCTCCTCCTCCCTCCCTCCTCCTCCTCCTCCTCCTCCTCCTCCTCCTCCTCCTCCTCCTCCTCCTCCTCCTCCTCCTCCTCCTCCTCCCTCCTCTTCCCCCTCCCCCTCCCCCTCCCCCTCCCCCTCCCCCGTCGTCCTCCGGGCAATCTGCTCGATGGCTTCTCTTCCTTGGAGGTGGCGCCCAGTGGGCGGGCGGTGCTTCGCGACCTGGAGAGCCGACTCGAGGCTTGCGGGGGCCCTCTCGAGTCATACTGGCGCTCCACCGGAGAATTCTCCGAGGACCGGCGTGGCGGCATCCAGTGGCCACCTCGCCGGCTCCAGGCCCACCTGCCAGCTGAGGTCGAAGGGTCGCGTCGCATGTCGCCGATGCATGTGCGATTCGGCGCGAACCCGCACTCGATGTTCCTCATCACGACGTCGCAGATGCATCGCTGATGCATCGGCGATGCGGTGCCATCCTCCGTCCCCGTCTGCTCCCGCCCTGGGCGAGCAAAACAAGCAGCCATGGCTGTCAGTGGCAGGGCACCGGCTACTCGTGAGAGCGACCCTTCGCCAGAGCGACCTTCGCTGCGCGAGGATCGGGGGCCAGTAGAGGCGCAGTCCAGACAGAGCAATCCCAGACGGAGACCGAGCACGCTGGATGGACTTCCTCCGTGTGGACTCCGCACCCTCTCTGGCAGCAGCCAAGTCCAGACGGAGCAGCTCGGTATGGACCTGGCATACTCCCAGGAAGGGCCAACGAAGCCCAGACGGAGCAAGCCCAGACGGAGACCGAGCACGAGCACTCCGTACGGTCGAACTTCTCGGACGGATTTCGCATCCCTTCCGACCGCGGGGCGGAGGCGGCCCACCCCGAGCACGCGGGCCGCGGCCGCAGCATCGCGTGCAGCGAGCCGCCGGCCATCCTGCCGTGCAGCCGAGGGAGGCCCGGCACCTGGCAGGCGGCCGGACTGCCCACGTGCCTCAATCAGGAGGGACAGAAACACACAGACACAATGAATCGTCGATCTCCTAGAAAAAATAGGAAAATATGGGAATTGGGGGAAGACAAAAACACAGAAAAATGGGAAACTATGGAGAATATGTTTATTTGTGTGTATTTATTTGTGTGTCCCAGGGCCCCTTCATTCTAGAGCTCCCAGATGGGGTCGGAGCAGATGGGGTCGAAGGCTCTCGCCGCATCGTCGATGCCTCGCTGGTGCATCGGCGATGCGGCTCGATGTGGAACCCGATTTTCTCCACGCCGACGTCGCCGATGCATCGCCAGCGTCTCGGGTGCATCGCCGATGCATTGCCGATGCCTCGCCGATGCATTGGCGATACATTGGCGATGCGGCGCGATCCTCCGACCCCATCTACTCGGACCCCATCTAGGAGGTCTCTAGTGCATGGGCCAGGGTTGACTCTGCCGCAAGGCTCGTGTGTGAACCCCTTCCTCATCCTATCATTTACTCTACCCGCCGCCCCTTTCGGCCCACAGCTACCGGAATGTGCAGCGCTGACTGCAGGCAGTGGAGAAGGATGAATCCTTCATCATCGTCCTTCACATCATCGTTACCGCATTTACCGACGGATGCTCGGGAGGGGATTGGCCCTTCGGTCACCCCGTCCCTCACGCAACCTGTGACCGATCCCAGCGTTGATCTCTGCGGTGGCCTGGATTGATGCCCTCGCATGCTCTTGGATTTTTTTGTGCCCATAAGCGGTCCAAACCGTCCTCTCTTTGGCGCCCCGCTGGTGCTCATGATGGTAAGGATAACCCAGCTGCGCTGGCCATCAATATTGGCACCGAAGTCAAGCATTGTCGAGAATTTTTGTCAGTGACATTCGCAATATGTTCGCCCTTGTGCAGTTCGTGGTCCCGTACTTGCCGAGCCACTGACCTTGGCTGCCTGATTCAAGTCTGCGTAGGACATGCTTGCTGGCACCCGTTGACTGAATGCAACATATTGCCACGCGCAGCGAGGCGCACCAGGCAGTGCGCCAAACGTTGTCGAAACCTTGCCTCGCAGGATCGCAGACAGTACACGGGAGAATGCAGCCGCAGAGCGGCGTGGCGAAGTCCAGGTTTGCCGTGCGTGTTGGTACTCGTCTTCGTCGTCGCCGTTGCACCCGTGGTCGTTGTCTCGTTCGGTGCTTTGCCCACCTGCCAGGGGAGGAGAAACGCACCCCGGAGTGGAGGGTTTCGCCGAAGGGCTTAGTCGACCCATCCTCCTCCTCCTCCTCCGTAGCCATTTTGGCTCAAGGTCCCATGTTCCTGAGGGGAACAAGTGGATGCCGCTAGTCCGCGGCGGGCACGACCCTTGTGGTCTGGCAGTGTTTGTCATCGATCCACGTTCGGGCTGGTGGGTAAACGGAGGCATTTCCTGTTCCTGCCTGCCCGAACGTCCAGAGCTCACCAGTAAGTTCACGCCCTACATACATGCCCAGCGATGAAGCCTCTAGAAGCGAACGTGGAGGCTCCCGACATTCTCGGCGACGACGACGTCGAGACGACCGTCACCGAGACCGCAGGCGCGACCAGTCGTCATCTCGATCATCGGCCAGCTCACCACGAATGGCGCCTACGCCAGTCGCTCGCCCTCGGCAGCCTGCTGGTGCTGGTTCTTCAGGTGGCCACCGCGGGCCTGGTGCGGTCGAATCGTGGGATGGCATCCCTCCTGACGAACGAGCCCGCATCGCCGCTGCCATCGGCATTGCCCCCACATTTCCTGAACATGAACATCGCGGATCCCAGGATGACAATGTGCGGCTCGACCCTCTACATGGTGCTGGTGACCCTTGGCGTGGGCACTATTCTCCCCCAGCTGTGCTCACCACGGCCGAGAACGTCGAGAGGGCGGTCGCCAACGCGTTCCAGCGGCAGCCCGAAGGAATGCGCACCGAGGTCACTACCATCATGGGCGCGGCTCATACCCACATCCAGAAGACCGTGCTGGAGATCATGCGCCCCCAGGCAGCCCGACTCGATGCTCATGATCAGGACATCCGCGCGCTCCAGAACAAGTTTGACTCCCTCGCGCAGTGCCAGCAGAGCTTGCGCCACGACTTGGACGCGGTGCAGCGGAGCCTGGCCCAAGCCCAAGATGCTCAAGACACAGCCATCGACCTCGCAGGGCTTGCACAGTATGATCGCCATCCTGACCCAAGCGTCTTCCGCATCGGCTGCGCCCAGCACGCAGCCTTCAGCGATATTGAGGTGGCCCTCGCGAGCTAGATCAAGGATGCAGGCCTGGAGGCCTCCCACACTGCTCTATATGGTGATTATCCTGGTGAGCTCTTTCACCTCCATCTCTCTGGCGGTCCTGCGGGAGTGGCCCGAGCAGTTCGACTCGCCCAGCATCTGCAACTACCAGGAGGCAGCTGGCGCCGATTCACGGCCAAGAGTGTCACGGGTGGCCAGGAGCCACTATATATCAACCCTGGCAAGGTCCCGAAGCAAGTTCGACGCGAAGGTCACGGGAAGCGGCTCCTGGGAATCTTGCAGCGCATGTACCAGGACAAGGACTGGGGACTTTTCCGCTCCCGTGGCATCATCAGCATCAACGCGACGCCCATTGTGGAGACCACGCCGCAGGGGGCGGACGAGCCGACACGTTTGGCCTGGGTCCCGCAGGTCGTGGCAGAGCACGAGATCGACATCCAAAGCATCAGTGCGCAGTTCAAACAACAGCTCCAGACCGTGGACACTTCGGCATCGCAAGGTTCCAGCCTTGGGAGATCAACGGCTCTGACGGACGTGGCCTGCAGGTGGCCTCGTGGAACGCGCGTGAGCTATGCTGCTGGAATCACAAACATAGGCGTCTAAAGATCGGCAAGCTCAAGCATCTTCTTCTGAGACGTCACCTGATCATGGTTCAAGAGGTCCATGGGAACGAGCTCATGCTCACCTCGCTGCTGGACCAGCTGCCCGTGCATTACCAGGTCTTCTACAGCGGCTACCTCAATGGTGAAG